TCTGCGCCGTCGTCTCTTTCCTTTCCGATTTCCATCTCCACTCCTCTCACTATCTCCCGCGCTTTTTCTCCCTCCCGCGCTTTTTTCGTTGCTCTCTAGCACCCCTCGGAGCCGAGGTGCTTCTCAGAAGCTATTCTGACATATTTGGTATCGGTCCCTTTCTTTAATATTTTCAGTTTGGCCCTGGAATCATAGAAGTTGCTATTTCGTCCCTCAAATCTTTTTAGTTTTTCAAAATAGTCTCCTCGTTATTCCATCTAACAGAGGTTATCTGTTAAGCAGACATGCTTAATTATTTTTCTACCCCCAATTAGTCATTTCCCCTTAACAAAAAGCAAAAATAAATAAATAAATAAATAAATAAAGGAATGAGTTTGAATGGGTCAAGGAACTCAAATGTGGAATGCAAATAGTTAAAAAGACGAATTTTAGTTATGAGTAGATTAGACAGAGGGGTATAATCAGAAATCTGTGAAAAGATCAAGTAAGATATTCCTTGCAAATCAAATGGTAGCTAGCTTCGTCAACTAATTTAAAATAACTAGTAGAATTAGAGCGTCGAGCAATTCATTGACCTGATGGACTAATTTCATAGCGTTGGAGATTTAAGGGGCTGTTTGGTGCTTTCCTTTAAAAAAAATCAAATTTCAATTAAGAAAATCTAAAGTTGGGTTTCAAAAATTATTATTTTTCGTTTTGGAATGGAAATGAGTTTCCTAAAAACTGAATCAACTTATCCATCTTTCGTAAATGGATTTCTTAAAGAAATCCTTATGAAACTAGCATATTGAGTCTTCCTACTCCTCCAACTTAAGAGCGTTGCTTTTTTAAACAAATCAATGTCAAAATTCTCAATAATTTCCAATAGGTTTGCAACAATTTCCCATTTAAAAATAAAAATTGGTAGGGGGGGGGATCAATATGAGAGAATTGGGAGACAATTTAATGTTGCAAATATGATAGATTTCACTAGTAGAAAAATGGGCATCCTTGACGGGCTTTCCTGTCAGGGATGTCAAATTTCCCGTCAAGGATGCGTATCCTTGACGGCGTCCCGTCAAGGATACGCCATCAGAAAAAGTCCCGTCAGGGATGAAACATCCCTGACGGGGAGCCGTCAGTAATGCCTATTACTGACGGCAACAACGGCGGGGGGGGGGAGCCGTCAGTAATGCCTATTACTGACGGCAACAATATTGACGGCGAGAGCCGTCAGTGTTAATAAAACATCGCTGACGGGTTTCCCGTCAGCGATGTACAAGTATCGCTGACGGAAATCCTGTCAGCGATACTTATCGCTGACGGGATACCCATCAGCGATGTATGTACATCGCTGACGGGAAACCCGTCAGCGTTACTTATCGGTCGGCGATACTTATCGCTGACGGGATTCCCGTCAGCGATATATGTACATCGCTGACGGGAAACCCGTCAGCGTTACTTATCGTTGACGGGATTCCCGTCAGCGATAGGCATTAACAGCAAAAAAAAATTATGCTGCTATAATCAGTGCCCTGTACATACAAATCTCCAAACGATATTTCTTGCACATTTCAAAACATCTCGAAATATATACAATCCAACTATTGACATTGTCTCTCATCCAATCAATTTCACAAACATTCGAAATATGTACATTCAATTTTCACGATAAGTTCTAAATCCACAAAAAATTCCACAACAAACCATACATGTATATCATAAGTTCTAAATCCATAAAAATTTCCACAACAAACCATACACGCATATTATAAGTTCTAAATCCACAAAAATTTCCACAACAAACCATACACACGTATCATAATCTCAACTATAAAGATGTCCACAATATACAAACACGAGTTTAGGATATAACTCACTAAGATAGGTCATCCGTCCTATCCATGTCATCGTCTGCGTTGCCACTAGCGGCTCCATCCCTACGACTCGTGCTCTCAATAGCATCATCTCCACTCTAACAACAAAATAATTTAAATTTAGAATCACATAATATTGTGTGTAATCATGTTTTACATATATAATAAGTATACATGTCTGCTACTCTCTCCACTACCAGTAAATGCCTTTTGAGTGGCCAAAAAATTCATAATCTGGTCATTATTTGCCTAGAAACCATCGCAAAAGTAGCAGTAGGCTGGATCACTCGCATAAGCTCCTCTTGAATATCCTCCCACATCTCCTCGGGAATCTGACCATCTAACATATTCATCACAGAGGAAACAAGCTGCATCGCCTGCTGTGTGCAATCCTCCTGCAGCATGTAAGAGGGCCCCGAGGGCATAGTCGATGGTGTTGAAATCTGCGGAGGCTGGAATTGTGTAGACACCCTCTGAGCTCCAACTCCCATCCACCTGGTCCTCCCCTTTTTGGGAAGACTACAAACTAAATGGCTCACATTATAATTCTGCTCTCTAGTCAGGGGCTCCTGGCTCTGTGCAACAACCTCAGAATATGTGTTTTCCAGAGCTTCCTAAAAGACAAAAAAAATAAATTTAAGAATTGACCTTTCAAAAATAAAAGATATATTTACTTGAACAAGTAAAATAAAAAATAAAGTAGTTCCACAATTGAGGAGGCTAAGTGCTAATAAATGGTTGAAGGGTGTTTTGTGCAACATAAAAGTACTACATGTGAAGAAGGGTTTATGGGCAAATTTACTCTCCACCTAATGTTGTCTATGAAGTTCTTAAAGTGGTGTGAATTTGGCTATAAAAGTTCAGTCAAAAAAATTGGATTATAATAGATGCATGTCATTTCAATTTTGTCAATGAAAAGCTCAAAGTGGTGTGAATTTGGCTTCATCAAAGAACATTATGGAGTCTTGAGCTCTCTAATGGTCAATCGTGTTTGGCATTGACTTCAGTAAGATTGTAGGTAGCATTAGTCTTTTTGAAAACATGATTTATCAATACTAAAAGAGTGCCATCTCTTTATAATAATATTTAATTCCATATGCCTTTTGTTATATGTATGCATGCATCTTCCTTAACACCATCTCTTTATAATAATATTTAATTCCATATGCCTTTTGTTATATGTATGCATGCATCTTCCTTAACACCTTCACACATATAATTCATGTATGATAATTAAGATGAACAAAAGAAGAGTGCAAACAATAAATTCCCAACAAAAGAACAGGCTAATAAGAGCTAAGATAATTAGTTAACCTGCATTTTCTTGGCCAATTCTAGCTTTTGTTTCTTATTCTCATCGTCATCATATCCCTTCTTAAATTGAACCATCGTCCTCCTGTGCAGTTCTGGAAGCGGGATAAAGGGAGCGTTCTGAGATTTAAAAATATATTTATTAGTTTTATTTATCAAATATTATAGGAAACGGAGAGAATATATATAGAAGATTAAAAGACTTTATACCGTTGTCCTACAAAATTGATCCTCAATCTGGGCAAATGAAGTAGTCCCTGTATGATGATCATAATCTTTCTTCCATCGATTTAGTTTATTTCTCCGACATTTTTTCTTCAACATGAACAAACAGAATTTTAGTACAAGCTATAATATACAATAAAATATATCATTAGTTTCAGATAAATAACTTGGTGATAATTAACTACTATACATATTTACCTGGTGCTCCTCTTGGCCCCACAATACTATAAGTGCAGCTAAGTGCTCAGACTCAACCCTCTTATCTCGCTTGTATATCCTCTCCCAGTTGTGAGTGAAACAATCAACGCATTTCTTTTTTACCTCATGTCTCCACTCCCGAAGAGAATGCTTGAACTTTCTCATGTATCCAAATAAAAATTCCCACCCTATGGGATTGTCTTCGATGTTGAAGTATCTCTAAAAATTAAAATATAGTTAAGCATGAACAATTGACAGAATTGAAAAATAACTGTGCTAAATAGAAGAATTTACCCAACAATCTCGATATATACTCTCCAGGACATGAAATGGCTGCTCCTCAGCCTCATAATAAGGATTCACATTATCACTCCTCCGTATCAAGCATCCAAGGTATGAGCTAAAGTTATTAGCCCATTGTCCGGTTGGAATTCCATTATGTCCCCATCTCACAATTGCTCGAAAACCATCCGGTGGTAACTTTTTTTTAAAGTCACTTCCTTGGCGTCCTTTTTTCTGGTAAAATTTTTCTCCTACAAAGAAAAAAATAATAGATATATCAACACTTTTATTTAATCAATCTTAAACTCTTAGAATTTACCAAAAAAGGAAGAAGAAAAATATTAAGGAAAAGAGAAACCTGAGATCTAACTCACCAAATCGTTGTCTGATTTCATTTTTTGCATCAGATAAAATCTCATCAATCTGTGGGCCCCATTCATCTAATTGTTTTTTCGTAAGCATGTCTTTTTCTGTCTGCTTGAGTCTGTACCCCTCTGCACATGCTGGTAAAGGCCCGCGCTCAATCCCGGGAATATATGCTCGAAGTACCACATGAGGATCTGCATATAATGGTACGGGAGTCGGCTCTTCCTCACCCTCACCTAAAAAATAAAAGAATTAAATTATCATTGTGCATATATCATGAATAAAAAATACTTAAGTTAAACTAAGTTATACCTGACATCTCTCCTGAACTCGGTGGCTCTTCCTCAGTGGATTGGTCTTGAATAGGGTTAGCTTCGAATAACCTCCTGTTAATGTTTTTAGACATCTGCAAGTTGAATAAAACATACATTTAATTGTTATTGTTATGCATAACAAAACTATCACATTACATCCTAAATATTATGCTCTTTTAACAATTATATGCTGTTACATCTTACACATTGACACTATACAACTTTAATGAGCACACACATCTAAAATGCTATTGGGTGTCATACACATGATATGATTGCGTACATGTATCATGCTGTATTTACTTCCTGTATCCATGACAAGCATCAGATGCATTTGGTGCATTGGAGATAGTATATTCACAAAATTATATATACCATTCCATTCTATAGCAATAACCACGGATTCGTAAGAACAAGGTAGCATTGGACAGC